CAACAAATTGGCCATTGTGATGGTAGAATTTGAAACTGAAATATTTCAAATAATATCGACGTCTTATTTCAAGTCTTTATTCGAATCCGTTGACTCCAACTGGAGTGGATTATTCAGGTCAACATTCAGAAATTCAACGATTTGAGTGCACAACTACAAATATTATAGATGGGTTGATCAGTATACATGCCGAGATGAAAACGTAATTAAGCGAAACTAAGGATTTAGGTATCGATAGAATCGACTAAGTTTTGTGCGTCTTCAAGTGGCCAAATGAATGAAACTGTACGGTGAATCTAGAAGTAATCGTTTATAAATGAATTTTCTGCAGTCGAAAATAATATCATGGAACATCGATGATGTATATTACATTTAATGTGCATTTCAACCTTTACACTGTTATCTCTGCTAATTTGAATAGCAAATTGTTTACATGGAATGAGTGAAGATGAAGTTGTTGTTTCGACTTTTGATTTCAACCCTCTTAATTTTTCATTGAAACTAAATGCAACCGCATTCAGTCAACTAATTTACTTCCATTGTTGAACGAAAAGTAATAATTAAGCAAACAAGAATTTTTAATCAGTGAAGTTTTTGCTTTCAAGTGATGTTTACTGAAAGAGGAAGCGCAGAAATTAGAAATTGATTTGGAAAAATACTTTCAAGATTTTAACTGCTATTGCGCAGAGCTGATTTATAGAAATGACAGTAGCTCTGCAAAGATCAACTGCGGGAGGATAAATATAGATTCCTTCAGAAAATCACCTGTATCTCCTCAAGTTTGCGAAATCGCCCGACAAAATATATACATTTCTGAATGTAGAGAATCTGGGGAATCTAATCATGTGAAGAAATTGCCATGTTACTGAGCAGATCTGAGGACACCGTTAGTTTGAACATGGTACCCTAATACTGCTATAGTAATGTACACATTGATCTATAGAGATACAATGCATCGAAACGAGCGCCGCCGAGCTGCTTGAGATTCCTTCAGAAAATCACCTGTATCTCCTCAGGTATGCAAAATCGCCCAACAGCACATATATATTTCTGAATGTAGAGAATCTGAGGAATCTAACGATGTGAAGAAATAACCATGTTACTGGGCAAAACTGAGGACACGGTTAGTTCGAAAATTGTACCCTAATACTGCTGTAGTAATGTACACATTGATCTATAGAGATACAATGCATCGAAACGAGCGCCGCCGAGCTGCTTGAGATTACTTTAGAAAATCACCTGTATATCCTCAGGTATGCAAAATCGCCCGACAACGTATATACATATCTGAATGTAGAGAATCTGGGGAATCTAATGATGTAAAGAAATTAACATGTTACTGGGCAAACCTGAGGACACCGGTAGTTTGAAGATGGTGACACTATTGCTACTATACTAATGTGCATATTGATCTTTAGTGATACACGGCATTAAATTGAGCGCTGCCGAGTTGCTTGAGATTCCTTCAGAAAATCACCTGTATCTCCTCAAGTATGCAAAATTGCTCGACAACATATATACTTTTTTAAATGTAGAGAACCTGAGGAATCTAATGATGTAAAGAAATAACCATGTTACTGGACAAATCTGAGGACACGGTTAGTTCGAAAATGGTACCCTAATACTGCCGCAGTACTGTACACATTGATCAATGGAGATACAATGCATTGAATTGAGCGCCGCCGAGTTGCTTGAGATTCCTTCAGAAAATCATCTGTATCTCCTCAGACATGCAAAATCGCCCGACAACTTATGTACATTTCTGACTTTAGAAAATCTAAGGATTCTAATGATGTAAAGTTTACCATGAATTCTTCTGTAGTGATAGAAAGCATTTCATGCATTGGGTTTTCAAGCTTGATTTACTGTGGCATTTACATAAATGTTGTGCGACAAAATGAATTCATCAATTGCTGTGCTGTTGAATAATTCCTTCATTCTTTTACAAATACATAAACGGAAACAAACAAAATTTGTCAGTAAATTTACGTGAATATTAATCGTAATAAATAAATACATCAATTCATATTCATTTACGAATAGATATCATNNATATTGAACAACAGAGATCAAATCCAATGAAATTGATCAATCAGTTCAGCTAAAGAACAGCTGCAAATCGGTCATCAAATTCTTTCTTGATATCATCATCCATATTATTGTAAGCCCTCTGTAGCAGTTCCCATCGTTCACCGTCTTTCAACTCTGGATTTGTTAATATTGCTGATACCTGCAGTATTCAGTCAATCATTTCAACAACTACGAACAACACCTTCAATATTTTACAACACAAGGACTGAAGCGTGTTCCAACGGCAAATCATGCAACGATTTCTAACACACTAACAGAACTGTTAAAATTGCGGGTTCAGTATAAGTTAAAGTGAGCTTAGGTTAAGGCTAAGGCTGCGTTGCGTTGTATTGTGTGGCCTTATATATGGCAACCGAATGAAGCAGATGGAGAAACTGAACAACAGGATAAATCAAATCCTCTTCGTTGTTCAAACTTCTCAAGAATATTGCTGACAAATTGCATATTAAGATTCACA